CTATATGTAATTGTTCAAGAAGAGGAAAACATTGAGAGATAAGTTTGAATAAATTATGTTCAAAAGGACGTCCATCAGTCATTGTCAAGTATCGGACTGTATCAAAAATATCACCTTGAAAAGAGTTGTTAAGGTGAATAAAATATTTGAATTTGCATGGAAGTGAATAAACATGCGATCCGCCTACATTGTCCTCTGATCTAATATGGACACATGAACCAACTTCTCCACATCCTTTTCCAATAAAACTATGTTGAATGTCTTCATTCGACGAGAGATTAATTTTCATGTTTCTGTTGACAACAGCTGTAAATATATTAAACGTAAATTTGTTCAAATGTGGCATATAAATAAGAATTTGATCATGTAATTCAATACCATCAATAAAAGTCGAGTAAGTTTTTAGTACTGATAAGAATAATGTCAATTTTTCAAGATTTATCATTCGACGAAGTAATGGAATAATTAATTTGTCATAATGGGATACAAACTCAATTGAAGTTAATGAGAAACATTTCAAATTGGGAAGTTTTTTCTATAATGAAAATATAATTAAGAATTTGTTTCTCTTGAAAATACAAGAATTAAAATTATATTTACCCTATTATCTATATTTGATAAACTCAATAATATTTGTTTGACATGAATAATCAATGTTGATAAACATTTAAGATTTCCAACAAGAAGACAAAGACAATCATCAAATCTTGCGACATTAACTTTTAATTTAGTTAAAGTCGAAGACATGTAACTTCTTGATTGTAACTTAAAAATACAAATCAGAGCCTTTCGATCAGAAAACAATTGACAAAAATTCAAACTGATCAATTGTTGACATAAAGATAAAATTAATACAAATATACTTGATAGAGTTTTAGACGCTTCTGATTTTAGCTCATACGGAACATCAATATTAAGATGTGTAATTTGTTGAGTGAGAAGATCATGAAGAATTGAATTACCTTCAATTTAAAGAATAAAGACAATTATTAATGTATGTGACACTATTTCATCATTTTATTAATTAATATGAATAAAATTAACTATTAGTGTACCTGTTAAATACTGCAAAAGTATTTCTTCTTGAAAATTAACAAGTGATAACGAGTAAAGTTGAGGATAATTAAAGGTAAAAAGAATACGTTCCATTGAATTTTGCTCAACAGTAAGTTCATTTAATTGATGATGAATTTGAGGTAAGATTTTTTCACATATTGTATCAAGAACATGATTATCTATTGAAAAGGTACGATCATAATATGATTTTATAGTCATGTTTGTCGTATCAAGATTGTGAATATGAAGTGCATCAAGTACTAATCGATCAAATCGTTCATTAATATCCATAAGTGAATAGAGAGCATCAACCGTTTTCAGTTTATTGAAAATGATGAATAATATTTCATTGGGTAAATCAAGTATATGAAGATGGTAGATATTTGAATTATTCATTTTAATACTCGCATACTGTTTATTCATTTCGTTTCTATAGTATGCCGACAGAGCCAAAAAAGTATAGCGTTTTAAGAGAATCAATATCAAATGCACTACGCGTGGCGACCCCTTAGAAAATTAAATGGGTCGAGATTTTGATTGATACTGTTAGATAGAGAAAAAAATTCTCTATCGAACTGTATTCTTACTTTTTTTTTAAAAAGTGATTAGAACCGAAAAATTATCGATAGGATCTAACTAAGTATTATTATTCTTATTCCTATTGGTTGTTAAAGTCCAACTTACCATTAGTCTAATTAATTAATAATTTTCTCGAGAAAAAAAAATGAGCCCGATAATCTGACTTCATGAGACGATTTGTCTTTTGTCAAGGTACAATTTGATACTAAATAATCCCTCTGAAAAAGTGATCGAAGTATTTCAGAAATTAGCGCCACTAAGTGCATAAATGTATTCTCCATTTGATAATGATTTGATCTTTTTTCTCGATTTATCGGCATACTATTATATATCTCTGACCTTTGCTCGTTTCCGTCTTTGAGAACAATGAAAACAAAAACATTCATATTATAATATTCGACTACGATGAATGGCTGATGGGAGTTTCTATTCGGTCTAACATTTATCATTATTCATCAGTGGTCCGTTCGTCTGGTCATTTTCTTATATCGCAACATTTATCATGTAGCTTGTTTTTCATAATACATAATATTATGTTTAGCATAAGATATAGAATATCAATTAGACGTTAGAAGTCTACTGAGAAATTGTCAAACGTATTGTTTAATAAAAGAATACCATTGATTTTATTTGGTTAAACTGAAAAAATAAACATCGCGTGAAAATATAAGAAGCATAGACCATAATTGGTTTGGTTGGATCTAGAAATGTATGAAATCGATGTTAATCCTGATTAGGAAGACCGAGATTGAAACCAAAATTGAAAGTATACTTGGTATCGAAACTGAGACCAAATTTGTACTTAAATGTTCTATTGCTTCTGAACAAATGGTTTTATATATGATGTCAATCATTATAACATGAGTAAAGAAAGAAGACTAAATATAGTGAGACATTCGTTGACTCAATAAATTGTTGAGCCACAATCTTGAAAGCTTTGTAGAATTCATGTGTGCATATTCTGAAATACCTTTGTCTAGATCGAAACCAAGATTGTAACTATAATTGCAAAAAATGAAATAATTACGACGAGGACCAAAAAAACTTAGTCTCTCACATATAATAGTGGCTTAACCATGAGAGGAAGCTGGGATGAGCTGAGCCCCTCAGAAATTTTTTGGTTCTCATGAAAAATAGAATTTCTCATTTTCGAAGCAATTCTGAGCAGAGTGAGCAAGATGTATCAGTTCATCCTATTCAACATTCGATATTTTTCTTCGATCAAAGACGAAAACGACATTCATTTTTCAAACCAACGGAGAAATTGATGAACTTTTCTGATAAAAAAAATTATTTACTTACTTCTGACTGTGGAAAGTTTTCGATCTAATCATAGTAGCCTTAATACACTTTTATAAAAAAGATACGGCGATTTCTTTGTTAGATTGAAATAATCGATCTTATCGAGAACGAGTCTGTGTTCAATAAATATCATTTGGAATTCCTCGCTACAGCTTTTGGCATCGAGTCTAATTATACCCAGGGAGTTAAAAAATAAAAAGATTGGCATTAAAATGATGAAATGGACAAAAAAAAATTGTTGTATTTCAAATTCATCGATTAAAATAGGCATTTTCATAATTTCATTGCATGATTTTAATTAAGAATGAAATTCACTGCATGTACTTAATTAAAATGTTGCTTTTCATCAAGGAATTTGAAAAACATCAATTTTTTTGTCTGTTCCACCAACGAAAATGCCATTTTTTTCGTACTTTTGATATAAAATTCACGAAAATCATGAAATATTTTTGATGCTTTCAGTTTATGAGTGGCTGCCTACGTTAGTATTGTGTGCAGGACAATATTGAACTGGAGATAGTTTTTTAGTAATGTGTTCATCTAAAAGGTTCTTGTAAATTATCTCGTGCTAAAAAAGCAATTTCGAATTTTTCTTTTGAAAAGTTATTTGCTATGAAATGTAAGGCGCACAGAACCGATTTCTAATGAGAATTTGCTTACCGAAAAGAAATGAAATATCAAAAATAGAGACTTTTCCTTTAAACCGATTCGTGATAGCAATAATCAAAATTTTGTTACAGTGTAATGTTACGATCATCCTCATTGATTCTCAGAGGATACTAGTCTTGGCTAGGATATCTTATGGTTAAGATATCTTTTCGAATCTGCAAGACAATGACGCGTTATAGTCAATTCATTGGTCTAAAATACTCTTTATGCGGGCAAGGTCTTCAAAGTGATGATCCTAACTGAGCATGTCGGGATGGTTTTAAATTGTAGAGTACCATTAACGCTAGGTACTAATAGAGCCAGATTTTTTAATGTTCCTCCTTTCAGTTTTTATAAAACTTTTTCGAAAAATTCTCAACTTTTTGTTCACAAAAATTGGTGAAGAAAAACAAAGATCGAAGTTTTTTATTTCAGCGAAAGAGAAATTCAAGAATCAGACTCTATTACGACCTACCTCTAGCTGTCTGTTATATAACAAAAAAACGACCATTCTTATAATTGAGTAGTTATCATGAGAGATTTGCCCACGTAAACGGTACTATCAAAAAAACTTATTTTAAGAAAAAGACTAAATCGGTTTTAGAAATCAATATTTTGTGAAGCACACCTGAATTATATGTGATCTTAATATTAATTGTTAATAGTCTCGCAGTGATTATCATAAAAAAAAACTTGTAAAAACACTTTGAAAATTTCTTGAAAAATATAATAGTAAGGGCCAAGTTAGAGGCGATAAGTTCGTCAAAATCAATTCATTTTGCGATAAGCCATAGATATTCGAAAAGAAAACATTTCGATGCATCTTCCTATGATGGAATTTCAACCGGGACTTGTCTTCAAAAAATTAAATTTTCTAAAGGAAGTCCCCTTAATGAATGGACAGAAACTATAAATAAATGTGTTGATGAAGATAAATTGATTTTGAAAATCTAAATCACATTCATGATATTAGTACTTTGTATGAACAAAGAAGATTGAATTTTCCACATAGAAACATATACAAGAGCAAAATAAAAAGAATTTTTTGTTATTAATGTTAGTAATAAGAAAAAAACTATCAAATAAAATGGCAAAATTAGTATTTAAAGACAAATAGTCAATAGAAAATGATCTTTTTATTTGCTGGTACTTTTAGAGTATAAACCGTAGCTGATATATAAACTGCAATAGAATGTTGAATTATTATTGATTCATGAGTTATTTATTGTTCAAAATAGTATTCATGAAGAGAAACTGAAAAACAATAATAGTAGTGAATTATAGATTTTATGATGCATAGTGCTTATAAATTATTTTGTATTTATACTAACATTAGTAATATCTTTAATCCATGTGCAAGACCTACTCTATATATTCTACATATAGTAGAAAAGGTCAAAATCATATTTGTAAATAGTAATATAGTTTTGAAATATAAAAAAATCATTGCAATGAATCATCTATTTATTTCAATAAAAATTTGTCAATCGATTTATATTAATTCTGAATATCAATATAACCTTGAATTGTCCAATGAGTAGATGGAAAAATAACATTTAATGTTTTAATATGTTGAATGCCTTCTAATTCCATATGAATAGGTTTAAATTTATTATTTCTTCATGTTGGTGAACGAAAAAAATTCGATCATAACGTTGAGGTATACTATTATTTGTTATATTTTAATTTAATTTAAGATCAAATGTATACGTTGTTTCAGGTCGTTGATCTGTCATTTGTCATAAACAGGGGCGGCGCGAGCGGGGGTGGGTACTCCCCAGTTTTTGAAAATTTTCGTTTTTCTGCTCATCGATTTTCGAACAACTTATAAAAACTTTCCCCTACCCTACCTCAACATTTGAAGTTCGGTACAGTTTTTCACATTTCCTCCCATTTTTCGAAAATACCCCTCCCCCCCCCCTGCTTTGACCTCTTCACGCCGCCTCTGCTTGCAGACGATAGTTAATTACAATTAACTGTCGTTTTACAAGATTTTTTTGAGGAGTTCATATAAAGATTAGAAATTTATTATGCGAGTATTTCTTGTCTTATTTCATTTACGAATGTATGACAAATATAAATCATACACTGTTCGAAAGAGAAGAAAATTTTCTATCAACTGATAAAAAAGTTATCGTTCCAGCACGTGTTTAAAGAGGAGATAGAGTACTCGACATTTCATGTCGTTATTGTGAAATACACGAAAAGTGCAGAATTATTTTTGGGATGTCTCTATTTATTTTCATACAATTCTCTTTATAAATGTCTGGTAAAAATAAGTTATATATGGTTCGAAAGAGTACAAAATTTCTTGTCGATTGCTAAAAAAATTTTCTTTCTAGAGCCTTGTCTATAAAAAAAAATACAAAGACCAACATTTAGTGCCATTACTTTTGCATCGGACGTTATCTAAAATACGAACGACTATGTTTATTTATTCAACTAAAATTAACGATTCTCTTTGTTTGATATGAATAATGTAATATGATGAATCATTTTCTTTTTTTTAATTAAATATTTAATAATTAAACTTTGTGAAAAAGAACAAAACAGACTCGCTTGTAATTTTACTGAAATAAAAACAAAACAAAAAAAAACTAGTATTTTTTTTTTAACATGTTCTTAATTGTTGTAGTTTTTCAATGGATGCAACCCAATGTAATCGATAACGATCAAGTTCAGCTATAATTGTTGAACAACGATTTTCAATATCAGATAATGTTTGAGAAAATACTTCTTTATATCTCTATAATAAATACAAGAAATTTATTATACAAAAAAATATTAGAGAAAAAAAAAAGTTTAACCTGATAAGCTTGATTACGTTGTGCTATGGTTTCCATTTGAGGTAATGTTGTCTTTTGTGTTACAATAGAAGCTGATGTTTTTTGTCG